AGAGAGAGAGAGAGAGAGAGAGAGAGAGAGAGAGAGAGAGGGAGGGAGCCGCCAGCATCCCCAGCAGCAGTACTGCTCTCTATATAATTCGCCGACTACTGCCTCTGCTTGATCCAGGCAGTGTAGCGATTAGTCTCTGCCTGCAAAATAATTACTGGTCGGCGCCAGTGTTTGGTGTGTGTGTGTGTGTGTGTGTGTGTGGAAACCAATTGTAATCCCCTTCTACCCGGCGACAGTGTCAACTACTACTACTACTGCGAGCTGAATCTACTGATGACGAACAGATTGCTGCTGTTGTAGCACACCTGTGAATGAATTGTCGACAATGAGATGAAGTAGTTGTGAATGGGAGAATTAGGCAACATCGACGACGGCTTCGTAAACAGAGAACTCCGGCTCAAGTGAAAACTTTGTCCACGTGGAGATGAAGAGATATGAGAAAGGCGAGATATTAGTTGAGGGATAGAAAACAGGAGTTTCAGTCATGTACATTACCGGCATGCTGTTTACAGTCACTCCCAACTTGAACTCCACTTGGCACTTTACCACAATTGACAAATCCGCTCAGGCGGGGATTGATTTTTCATTCATTTTTTATTTCAAAAAGTGCTTGTTTTTATACAAAATACGACGGCTGATCTTATGCCTTCGCCTTGCCACGCTTGCCCTTGCCTCCGCCGGTGGTCTCCTCGACCTGCTCCTCGTTCTCCGCGGCCTCGTCGGCCTTGGTCGTTCGAGTGTAGATCGACTGAGCGTGGTGCTTCTCAATCAGTCTGACCAGGCCCTTGGAGTGCAGCTCATCGAGGGCTTTCTTCGCGAGCGAGGCGCGGATCTTCATGCGCTCAGAAACAAGCGAGGGGGTGATCAGTTTGTAGGAGGGCACCTCCTTGACGAACTTGTCGTATGTTGCCTTGTCGAAGAGGACCAAGTTGTTCAACTTGTCGCGGACCTTTCCCTTTGACCACTTCTGCAAGGGTGAAGAGAGAAAAATGCAGACGTTAGAGAAATTGCTGATTTAGAAGAGCAGCAGAAAACAAACCTTCTTCTTGGCCTTGCCACCTCCTCCTCCTTCCTTCTTCTTGGCGGGAGCCTTCGAGTCCTTCTTTCCTTTATCTTGCTTCGGCGGCTAAAGTGGAAGAAACAACAACAAGCACAAAGTGAATTAGTAAGTTGTCAACAGAGTAGTGATGGTGAAGGTGGTGATGAGGCCCGAGAAAACCGGGGCGAGGGCGGGGGAGGGCGGAAAAGAAAAAAAGAATCCGGCTTACCATGGTTGGACGCGTGTTGTGCCTTCACAGCCGATCAGAGAAAGAGCGACCTACCGTCGTCGGAAGCACGTTGAGAGAAAAGGAAGAGCCTGTTTGCACCCAAGCACTCGACCCTCTTCGGTGCAGATAGTCGACACCGACAACAGAGCGGGAAAGCCTTCAGACTGCTCCGCTAGATGGCAGGCTGAGGGGCTGGAAATGAAAAAAATCCAAATGAACTTTGAAAGTGCTGTACAGAATCCGCTGTACAGTGTACAGTGAACTCAAAGGCGGTGAACCCTCTCTCTTAAATGTCGGCCAGTGGGTATACAGCAGCAGCAGTTTCAGCGCTAGATTGTCAATATTTGGGACACAGGCACAGTGTGTCAGTGCATCATCATCGATGCAGACAGGCAGGCGAAAATCAGAAAAGAAGATGATTCTGATAAAAATGTGTTGAACGTGTTTGATCACATACTTTTGACCAGTGATATTAATCTGTTATGATAAGTTGGTAAGTAAAAATGGTAGCATTTTAAATTAGACTGCACTGGTAAAATGCACATAATGTTCGCCTAGATTTGTAGAAATAAAAGCTTGAATTCAGTTGACCTCTTCATTGTGTAGCATTGTGCTCCTCTTGAAACTTTGGGCTTCATCCTTCCTCTTAGTGATCAGGCAGAATATACTCTGTCTGCCTTTTCAATGGCAGCTATTACGGGTATCGTTCCCATCCAATAATAGCTGGTGGTGGTGCCCTTTTGCCCAAGTCATCGTCTGTCGGTCAACGAAGGCAACAACAGTGCACTTCTACCAGTGGTGTACCAGACATTAGAGTCGGCGGTGGTGGGAGCCGCGGACAAGTTGCCGCAGCGATGACATAACATATTGTAAAGAAGAAGGTACTGAACATCGAGTTCTCAGCTTCTAGAAGACACTACCCCCTAACTGCTGCTAGGTGAGACAATGACAGGGCTACTTTTGTCCCCTCCGCTGCCCTCTCCACTGTTCCCATCATCATATGATGGCGTAGTCGTCAGTTGATCACTTGATAGGACATCGAATGCACTTGCTTGACTGAGCCAAGTGACAGTGGCTGCGGTGGCAGCTCTTGCAGCTGTGGCTGCTGGGCATCCTTATGGACGTCAATCCTGGTGGTCATTGGTGCGGGTAGTGGTGTTGGTGCAAACACGTCTACCACTACAGCAGTCACCCCTTTCTGTACTGCTGATCATCATAACCATCATTATCACCATCTCTGCAACTGTTTATGCACAACAACTATCACAACAACAACAACACCGAGAACAATCGACTGACGATCAATAAGAAGATCACCCAGTCACCATCGCTTCTCGATCAATCTAGTCTCCATTTACCACTTCCTACTATTACTTCAACTACTTTTACATCTACTTCGAAACAATATATATTCCGCTTGAGTGTGCAGCCTAGTCATCTTCAGCCCTGAAGGCTGCTAGAATGCATCAATAGAAGAACAGAAGACAAAAAACTGTCATTAATGTAGAATCGCCTGTATATAAACTAGTAGACAACAATAGCAGCAGAATCATCTTACAATCAAAGTAAACGAAATCTTGTCTTGCCAACGGCACCCACAGCAACTGTCATTTCGAACTTGGAACTTGCCGAGTGATCCTAAACTTCAACGTCAACCACCATCTCATTCCATTTCATCTTGAAGTTCAATCCCTCAATCTTGATCATCATCTGCCCAGCCGAGGCAGCAGCAGTATCTTCCCAGCCTTCATCGGCATCAACTCTTACTCACACTTACTCAAGGTAAGTGTTGCCTGGGGTCAGATGGGGAGCTGCTGCCTGTCCTCCTCCTCCTCCGTAGATTGAGCAAATATGGTGATGATATGATGATACTGGAGATGGATGGATGGATGCTGGGGATGCTAGTGCGATAAATCATGCCACTGAGTGAGAGAAAGACTGTACCGATGTTGACGCAAGAAGGCAGAAAGAGTGAGAGTGAGTATCACGATGACCACCAAACCACAGAGCGTGGATCGTGACAAACGGGTGACGTCATTCTCCCCTTTTCTTTCTTTTCCCTCTCACCTCTCTCTCACTCACTCTTTTTGACCTAGAAACTTACTTTACTGTTTCAGTCAGTAGGTCTGACTCTGCTTGTCTCTCATAGCTTAACAATCTGCATCTGGCACTGCTGTATACACTGTGAGTTTTGCGGTTGCAAGATACGAGAGACAAACAGCAGAATAAACAACGGTCTGTCAGGCAAGAATTTATGAACAGCGAAAGAAATGGGTTATTTTGTTCATTCATGTTCAAGCACAACATTTTGTTACTCTATTAAGCAATGATAGCTATCAAACATTAGGAGTGTCAGTAAAGTGTTTGTGATCTATTAGCGCGTGAGAGGATCACCCGATCATCTTCGGCCACTGAACGGTTGCGTTCTCCAGTGCTGGTTGCGTAAAACAAAAGAAGAAAGATGAGTCTCGGTGGTGGTGCAAGTCTCAAAGTAGGACTAAGGTCATGTCTCTGTCTCTGACTTCCGCAATCCAAATCAGGCGATGTGGACAGTTCAGTTCAGCTGAACAGTAACAGCAACAGCAGCAGCAGTTTATGCGAGCATCCTCTTTGCACTTTGCATTGTCGCAGCAGCAGAAAACGGCTGATCCCCTCTCAGTCATCGATGCACCTCAGCTCAAACAAACACAAACATACACACATACACACCACACCACACCACCTTTTCTATTCAGGTCAGCAGGCAAACAACAAGAAAAGAAGTTATACGAAGAGGACAGCGATGTGTGTGTAAGTGAGAAGGCATCACCTGCAATGGCGGTCAGAGAAGAAAGACATTCAGAGTGAGAGAGAGCGAAAGTGAGTGAGAGAAAGAGAGGTGAGGCAGGTGAAAGTGAACCACGCGGCAAGTGCAGCACGACTATAGACTGATGCATCACCGCCATCACCATCGCCATCACCGTCATCACCTCCACCTCCGCCGCCTTTCCATTATCTGCATCGTATGCTATAACTGTGAGGTGCATTAACTATGTAAGGCGAGGTGGTGATGCTAATGCTGATGATGCTATAAAACAAAACAGTCACTCACTATTAAGGTCTGGGTCAACTTGGAGCCCACTTACACACACTCGCTCTCTCACAGGAGTTGCAATTGGAGCAGATGCAGCCGTGTAGCTAGATGTAGGTAGATGCAGTTAGACAACTTCAAGGTTGCACTCACCTTTCCTCTCACTGAGCAGTGAGTGAGTGAGTTAGTAAGTGGACAAAAGGGGCCGGCGTCTGAACCTTGACTGCCTTACAACCACTGATCATCATCATCATCATCATCGTCATTGTGATCAGCACCTATGTTTCCCCTTATTTTAATTGCCGCCCATTATCTCCCATCTCTCACCCCACATTGCGGTGCTAAAGAGTTCACTGGGATCTCTCATGGGCAGTCTTTCACTGAATCAAACTGAAGGGTGACTGAAAAAAGGGGAGGGTGATGTCTGCTTAAAAAGCAACTGATGGTGATGATGACGATAGCGGCACTAAAAGGATTATGGAAATGCTGTGTAAATGCACTGTGTTTGCATTGTGTATCAATTCTCCTTCCTTCCTTGTGGTGGTGGTGGTGCACTGGTTGTACTGTAACTGTCAGTCAGTATGTGTGTTGTGTCAGCGAGTGGACACCACACACGGCGATGCTCTCTCTCTCCTTCTCTCTCACCAAGCTGAACTTCGAGTGAAGGCCACCATACACTTGCAGACAGAGTTCGATGTAGCTCTTCATTACCATGTCTTTCTCTTTCTCTGTCTGTCTGTGTGAATGAACGAATAAGGGAAGGAACCAAAGGGCGAGAGTAGTATGGCGGCGGACAAGAGCAATACTACTACTGCTGCAACAACTACTACAGCAGACAGTATGGTAGAGGTGGCATCAAGGTTGGCCCAGTCAGACTGTCTTCCCTCAGTACAGTGCCGTACATTGCTCGGCCCCAATTGCTGTTGCAGCAATGTTTCTCCAGCTGAGGAGGGCAATCATCCGAGTGGCGGCAATTCCCCTCTCCAGCAGTGTGTCTTCAGCACACAGCAGCAGCAGCAGTCCCTGTCGCCGTCTGTCAGTGTCCATGTGTCGGCTGGAGCACCAAGTTGTGATGATCAGCACCGCCATAAGCACCACCACCACCACCAGCCAACGCGGATATATGCAGCGCGAGGTGGCCAGCGACGAATCACTTTCACCGCAGGTGCCCGAAGCAGTTGGTCAGTGAGTGAAGAGAGTGCCAAGTGATGCCAAGTGCCCAGTGAATGCGCTCTTCACCGTCCCTCAACTGTCCTTCATCATCAGCAACATCTTCACAGTTTGCCTGTCTGGTCAGCAACTTGCAGTGCAACCAACCTAATCTGCTGCTGCTGCTGCTGTTGGTGCCCTGTGGTCACAAGTGTTTGTTCAGCTTCAACCAGTGGACCTTTGCCTTCTCTGCATTTCCTCATCGACCAGTGTCCCCCGCTTGTCCAGCAGTGCATTGACCTCTCCTGTCTGCGACACAGTGAAACATTGACAGAAGACTGACAATATGTGAAACCACAAAAAAGTATAAAATTCTTCCACAACTAAACTTCGATATCAGCAGCTGTACAAGTTGACCGATCGAGCGTACTACCAATGACCGTTTTCAGACATCTTTCTATTGTTCTAATCATCCGAAGCTAATTTTTCTATCGACCAGCCAGATTGTTGCTGTGTACATTAGAAACATTAAGACTATGTAGCGCACTCTGATTAGAATGAATGAATGAGAGAAGGCATATAAAAAGTGCCCCGCTGATGACTACTAAATTGTCATCAGTGCACAAAACAAGACAACGACTATCCTCAAACAAATTACTGCTGATCACCTAGTTACTATAATTTACTTTTCTTTTTGTCTCTCTCTCCCTTTTTCTCTCGCTGGTAGATCACACGCTCACATCCCGCGCAATTGAACTTGATCGTGAAAGTGTTACTCACAAACCGCAACAGCAGCACCACCATCACTTGATCTTGATCTTCAAAAAGGATTTTCTCTCCCACGGAAGGCGAAGCCACAGAGCGTTCCCCTTTCTTTCTCTTTCTCTCTGTGTCTGTTTGTGTGTGACCTCGATTGCACCGAGCGGCAACAGTGGCAGACAACACTTGCATTACCATAAAGGAGACAAAAGAGAGGTGAGGTGAGGTGAAGTGAAAGAAAAAGATGAAGACGATCGAAAGTGAAAACAGCGGTCGTGCCTCAGAGATTCGCAGCGCCCTCGACGGCGTGCACACCAGTCTGGGCACGGCAGAGATGGCCACAATGGCGGGAACTTCGAATACTTCCGATGACTCGCAGATTGCCGCCTTCTATGTCGGCAAGAGCGTCTTTATCACTGGCGCCACTGGGTTTATGGGCAAGGTAAGGCGATTTGGGGTGAAATTGAACGGGGAAATTATTTAATTGAAAATAATTTTCCTATGATCAGGTTCTAGTTGAGAAACTGCTTCGCTCCTGCCCTGGCGTCAAAACTATTTACGTACTGCTACGTGGAAAGAGAGGCGTTGAGCCGAAGAACCGCCTGCACGAGCTGCTCAACTCTAAGGTAAGCCTCAAAAGGGGATGACAAAACAAAATCAAACAAACTCCCAATTTCCAACTTCACTTTTTAGGCCTTTGACCGCGTTCGCGAGGAGAACGTCAATCAGCTGAGCAAGGTGCTGGCCATCTCCGGCGACATCACCCTGCCCGGTCTGGGCATCAGCCAGTCCGACCTGGAGCTGCTGGTGCGCGACGTCTCCGTGGTCTTCCACTCGGCGGCGACGGTCAAGTTCGACGAGCCGCTGCGCACCTCGGTGAACTTTAACACGCGCGGCACACGGCACGTCCTGCAGACCTGTCACCAGATGAAGAAGCTGCAGGTAGCAGCAAAGTTCTAGCTAGACTGGGAACCCAATTTCTAAATGGCTATTTCTACCCCTCCCTTTTCCCACCAGGCTCTGGTGCACGTCTCCACCGCCTACTCCAACTGCCACCTGCCCGAGGTGGAGGAAACACTGTACCCGCCACCGGCTCCGCCCAAGAGGATACTCGAGCTGACGGAGTGGATGGACGACGCGACGCTGGACAGCCTGACGCCGTGGCTGCTCGGCCGACGCCCCAACACCTACACCTACACAAAGGCCCTCGCGGAGCAGCTGCTCGTGGAGGAGGCAGCGGAGCAGCGCGGCCTGCCCATCGCCATCGTCCGTCCCTCCATCGTCACCGCCGCCTGGCGGGAGCCCTTTCCCGGCTGGGTGGACAACATCAACGGTCCCACCAGTCTGGTGGTGGCCTCCGGCAAGGGCATGCTCCGCACGATGCTCTTCGACTCGGCCGCCGTCGCCGACCTCATTCCCGTCGACATGGTCATCAACCTGATGGTGACCGTCGCCTGGCACACGGCCACCACTCGGCCCCAGGGCATTCCCATCTACAACTGCACCTCGGGCACGCTAAACAGCATCAAATGGGGCGACATTGAGCGGCTGGTTTTCCCTCTGAACCTGCACTACCCCAGTCTGCAGGTGTTCCGCTACCCGGGCGGCAACTTCAAGGAGAGTCGGATATTAAACAACCTGTGCACCTTCTTCGACCACATGGTGCCGGCCTATGCATCAGATGCGATGATGCGACTGCTCGGCAAGAAGCCAATGTAAGTGCTGCAGATGATGTCTTTTGATAAATAGAACTGTTCAAACAAAAAAACTCTCACAGAATGGTCCGCCTGTACGAGAAGCTGCACCGGGCGACTGCCGCTCTGGAGTGGTTCACCACTCGAGACTGGAGCTTCAAGTCAAACAATGTCGTCGAAATGTCACAACAGCTGCAGGGCGTCGACCAGAAGGTAAGAGTATAGAAGAGAGTAGAACAGAAAAATAATAACAGGACATTTTCACTTACCCAAACAATAGATCTTCCACTTTGACGTTCGCGATCTTCAATGGGAGCCTTACTGGCGCGACTACATCCTCGGCATTCGCAAGTTCATTCTGAAGGAGGACGAGGAAAGTCTGCCACTCGCTCGCAGTAAACTCAAACGGTAAGTGATTTCGAATCTGGGACACCAAAATCTTGGTTCTTTTGTTTACAAACTCGCTTATGATTTTTGCTTCACAGAGTCTACTACACACAAAAGTTCGTCTCGTTGCTGCTGCTCTTTGGCCTGTGGCACCTGCTGCTGCGGTTGCCGCTGANATTCTGAAGGAGGACGAGGAAAGTCTGCCACTCGCTCGCAGTAAACTCAAGCGGTAAGTGATTTCAAATCTGGGACACCAAAATCTAGGTTCTTTTGTTTACAAACTCGCTTATGATTTTTGCTTCACAGAGTCTACTACACACAAAAGTTCGTCTCGTTGCTGCTGCTCTTTGGCCTGTGGCACCTGCTGCTGCGGTTGCCGCTGACCAGTTCACTGATCAACGGCGCCCTCTCTGCGGCGGCCCGGCTCATGGGAACGGTCTTCGGCGATGGTTCAGCCGCCACCGCCGCCCTCACCGCCGCGTCATCGCAGTTGCTGGCCAACAGCGATCTTCAGGCATCGGAGCAGCTGCTCTTCAACAGCAGTGCCGCCGCCGCCTCTACGGCCACCTCCTCGTCTTCCTCCTTTTCATCCTCATTCATTTCGGCTGTGGCGGCCATTGCCGGATTCCCAACAACCGCCTCCTCCACCTCCTCCTCATCCAATTCCAATTGAGAGGATAAACCTCTTTGCACTGTGTTGTACCAATCGCTGTATACGTAGAGAACGCCGTTGTACCATTGCTCTCTTTCTACTTTACCGTTTCCATTTCTACTTCTATTTCGCCTGCCTAACTTGTTCTAATCGCTTTCTCCCCTCAATGTTCCTCATCCTCTTCTATGCCTAATCTGTTTAGAAGACTTTACTTTACTCTCTTACCTTCTACCTACCTACCCTATCCTATCTCTCCAGTCTGCTGGACTCTCTGGAAATATGTCTACCCCTTTACTCATGCTTTGCACTCTACACACACACCCACTCAACGAACAAGCTAAATCAGGACAACACTTTGGAGAAAGCAACCGTTGACCGATCGACCGTTACCAAAACAGCCTCCTCCTCGCTCTCTTTGTTATACACACCCCTAAACCCTTTGCTAACTGTAAGTGCTTTTCTCTCTGTTTATCATCATCGTCGTTTTAAAAAAGAAGCAGAGTTATTAATAGTGTGTGTGTGTGTGTGATTACAAACAAGAGCTGTGTGTCGCCTTGAAGAGGAGGTGGTGTTAGAAAGATCAGAGTTTCTAGATTGGTTTGGTGAAGAGAAGAGGGGGAAAGGAAGAGGGTGCGAGACAGTTTTTGACCGGTCGTTCACCTCACCCACACACACACACGGCTTTAACAGCTTTAACAGGGACAGAACGGGTGAGTAGAAGGGGAGAGAAGATGGGCGGCAAGAGCTGATGAAGGTGGTGGTGGTAGTAGTGAAGATGTGACAATAGCTACTACTCACTTTCCCACCAGTGACATGCATGCACACCCAAAACACCTACTCCCATTCAGTGGTGCCCGGCGGCTTGGGGGTGAGGTCGTAGAGAACCCGAGAGAGGCCGGGGACTTGGGAAATCTTTTCAGCCGTTTCCTTAAAAAACTGTAAAAAAAGAAACAAGAAAAGTTAGAATAGCTTCTATGCAATCACACCGCCACCACCCAACTAACCTTAAAGGGAATCTGCCTGTTGGGAATGGCCGGCACGCCGGTCATAAAGTCCTCGGTGATGAAGGTGCGAATGACCACCGAGCGCAGGCAGGACGGAGTTCGGGTGAGCGCCTCCTCGCGGTCAAAGTGAATCGGTATGAGGATGATGGGCATCTGCGAGACGAGGGCGCCGTAGCTGGCGCGCTGCAGCTCACTGGTGGCAATGTGGTCCGCCTCGCGCAGCACGTCAATGACGTGCGGCGTCAGCGTCGTCGTGGTGATGTCCTTCACCGGGTGCTTCACCGACTCGCCGAAGATGTAGCAGACGCGGTTCACATTGTGGCAGATGCGGGGAATCAGCTTCGCCATGCGGGCCAGCGTCTCAAACTTGGCCGTGGTGGCCGCCTCCGACTCATCGGCGGGCGCGTCCTCGGAGAGGCCGACGACGTAGCTGTAGGAGCGGCAGTCGCCCTGCACGCCCACGCTCTTGATGGGCAGCAGCGTCGAGGTGAAGTTGTAGGTGGCGCAGAAGGTCTCCAGAAAGGCGATGTCCTCTGCATTGCAGACGCTCTGCACCTTGGGCATCATCGAGTGTTTCTGCAGGAGAGAAATGTCAGATAACCACGAAAACAAACCTTACCGAATCCCAACATACCCTTTGCAGATAGACCGTGTAGTTGACAATGACCTTGAGCACTTCGGTGGTCTCCGAGAAGTCCCTCTCCATGTAGGGCTCCTCGGCGCAGATGATGCGCACCGCCAGGCCGGGCCCGGGAAAGGGGTGGCGCTGGACGAGCTCCGCCGGCAGGCCCAGGTCGCGGCCCAGAACGCGCACCTCGTCCTTGTGAAAGTCCTTCAGCGGCTCGACGACCCGGCCATCGTCGCGCAGCTTCCTCACCAGCTCAGTGTCATTGTGGTGCGTCTTGATGGCGTCCGCCTTGGAGCTGGCCAGCGAACTGGCGCTCTCAATCAGGTCCGGCCTGAGGGTGCCCTGGCCGAGGAAGACGTGCTCCGGGTTCAGCTTCAGGTCGCGCACAATCTCGTCGGCGATGCGGACAAAGGTGTCACCGATGATCTTGCGCTTCTCCTCCGGCGCCGTCGTCTGGCAGAGAATCTTCGTGGCGTACTTCTTGTTCGGCTCCGTCTTTGAGAGGGGGATCGTCGTGGTGGCGTTGTAGAACTGTAGAGAGGCGTTGATGGCTAAGTGGAAAGATAATGTCGATTAGATATCGGTGAAACTAAGAAGGCTGCCCCCACACGTACTCTTCATATCGAGACCGACGCTCTTCAGAGACCTCTCCACCAGGATGCTCTCATTCTTGCGCATGAAACCGTTGTCAATGTGAAAGGCAATCACCTGGTCGGCGTTGAGCGCCTTGTGGAGAAGAGCTGCGCAAACCGTAGAGTCGACGCCGCCGCTGACCAGCATCTAAATTGTTAACAAAGATAAGCATTTGTAAAAAAAAATTTAAATCATAAGCACACAACGACTTACCAGAACCTTGTTCTTGCCCACCACCTGGCGAATGTAGTCGATGCACTCGCTCTCTCGAGACTTCATAGTAAAGTTGCCCGAGAGGCCGGCCACGTTAAATAGAAAGTTCTTCAGCATCTGCTTGCCGTTCGTGGACAGGTCAACCTCAGGGTGGAACTGAACGCCGTACAGCTTCTTCTCCACATTTGATATTGCTGCACGTGAGCAGAAAGAAGTGATGTTGGTGAAAAGGAACACAAACACGGGCACGGCACACACACTTACCGACTATAACATTTTGTGATTTTCCCACAACCTTAAAGCCGTCGGCTACTTTTGAGACTGAATCACCGTGAGTTAGTAGGACTTCTTGCTGAGGATCTAGATTGCTGGAAGGACAAAGAGAGAGGCATACAATAGTGGTGAGAGCTGTGCGTGTCACCGAGCAGTATCGAGAGAGCTTACCTAAAGAGAGGATTCTGGTTGTCTACGGTGATAGTGAACTGGCCGTCTTCGCGACCCTCCTTCCGCTCCACCGAGCCACCAAAGTCCTTGTTCAGCATCTGAAATCCGTAGCAGATGCCCAAGACGGGGACTCCAATTTGAAAAATCTCCTTGTCGTATGGCAGGGCATCGTCGGCGTACACTGAACCTGGGCCGCCGGAGATGATGATTGCTCTACAAGATGTTTCATAGGTTAGCTGACATGTTCAAATAGGAAAAAAGCCACTTATCAGCTACTTACTTGTACTGTTCGTTAAGCAGTTGCTTAGCTGGCGTGTTCAGTGGCAGAATCTGCGACTCGACGCTGAGCTCACGGACCTTTCGGTCAATGAGCTTGCCGTACTGGGCACCGCAGTCGAGAATGGCCACCTTCTCCGAGTGTAGCTGGCCATTGGGCTTGCCGCCGCCGCTGGGAGAGCCGAGGGCGCCGTTCTGTGCAAACATCTTCCTAATTTGGAGAGCGGTGAAGAGTATTGACCGATGATGCAAGAAAGGAAGTTGAGAACCGATAAATAAAACCAAGAGAAAAAGGGAAGGAATAAGAATAAATAAATAAAAGCTGAGATGGCGGTTGCTAGTAGCTGGGTGGGTAGTTGGTTGGGCTGGAAAAGAGAGAGCGAGAGGGAGATGGATCACGTAAGCTTCAAATTGGTGGTGGTGTGTGTGTGCAAGGGCTCTAGGGTGACTATCGCTGGAGAGAGAGATTTTACACTTTAGTGGCAAGTAAGTAGAGTAGAAAAGAGAAAGTAGAAGTATCACACAGGTCGAGAATGAATGGAAGAGGAGGTGAAGAAGGACAAAACGACCAGATCACTCTCTTTGCCGGTTGCTGCTGCTGCTGATTAAGCGGACCCAGAGAGTCTTCGACTTGGGCGTCTTCGGCAGGGAAAGCAAGCAGAGCAGGTCACTGGGCGGCGGTGTGACGGATCCTCTTCGGTCGTCCACTTCAGCCTTTATTGCCGCCGCTGATGATGATGGTGATGGTACTTCAGGAGATCGTCTTTCAGCTGGTGGTCGTACCCACAACAAGAGAACACTGGCCGGGGCAAAGAGCATAGAACGGCACTTTTTCAGCACTTCAGCGCTTTCAGTCGTCAGTCAGTCGGTCTCATTGGAAATGCACACAAACTCTCCCTCTCGCTTGCACTCGCTCTGCTGCCGCCGCTGCTCCACTGTCACCCTTGTCTTTCTCTGTGTGTGTGTTTGGTGCAGCAGCCCGTTTGTGCCTCTCGTAAAGGAAGTACCGCAGGTTAAATGGAAACTGCCCTTTCCCGGGGATTTTTTAGGTGTGCAGGTATGCTTTGGGTGTTTTTAGTAACGCAATAAAGGTACCACAACTTACCTTGACTTTTTTTTGAATGGAAATGAAGTGAGATGTTAGATTTGATGACGAGTCTGACGCACGTTAAACACTTGATGATGGTCTCAGCAAATGGAAGTCGGCTCAAGTGTGCAGTGTCCTTTTAACGATTCAGCGACATGTTTCGATGTCGTTCAAAGCACTTGCTTGGTCAGAAGCACATCTCTTCTTCAAAATCTTCACACATCTTTTTATCAAACGATCCCGTTGTGGTTTTGCCATAGCCGCACTGTCTGTCTGGCGCGTACCATGGCATCATCGATCGATGCGGCGCTTTGATAAGGCCAAAAGGGCCCTCACCATACTCACTCTCGTGGGCAGACTGGTGCGAGACTAAGATGATGATGGTGGCGGTGGTGGTGGTGTTGATTCGAATTGATAAGCAGAGGATAGAGTGTGGAAAAGTCTCGCCACAGTCAGTGTGTCTGTGTGGTTCGATCACTTTCTCCTCGCCCTTATCTTCTTCTTCTTCTGGTATGGTGAGGTTGCAGTATAGTAGGCAATCGAAGCAATGGGGGAGCGCATAAACGAATGATTCGACTGCATAATTTCTAGCGGCCCATCTTCTTCTCTTCAATGGACATGGCCGAGTAAAGTTATTATAGAACCGTGTCAAAAGTGAAAAAGTGCCGACAGATTAAAGAGTTGATGATGACAGAGTGGTCACATGTAAGCAGCGTCATCATCATCAATTTGGGTAACGAAAAAGGAAGCATTGCTGATATCCGTTATCGCAACGTAAACATGGCCGCCAACTTGCGCCCGAGATATAGATTGAATAACAGTATTTTTTGGTATAACACACATAATCTTGCTACCATTCAGCACTATGACACTCATAAGCACTATCATCGGTTGACAATCAATCACACACAAAGAAACCTTCACTACTGTGAGGTGCTGGAGGTGATAAAAATGGCGGCAGTGGTAATGGTGGTGGTGGTGGTAGTGCACCAAATATATCGTCTCATAGTACATAGCTCGTTGTAGAAATCGTGGTCCTTTTGCATACCTCTCCTTGCTACTGCTGCTGGGAATGGCTGATCAGGCTTGTCACATTCTCTTCAGAGACTGTGGAGTGGAAAATGGTGGTGATCATTAGTACTGATAAAACTGTTAAACTTCTTTAACTTACCATTTTCACTGGTGACCTTGTTGAACTCCTTCAGCGAATCGGTGAGATTGTTGGCGAGAAAGATCTTCTCTTCGTCCAGGAGGTTATCACCTAGCCTCGTCAGGGCGCTCAGAATCTCTCGCTTCTGTTGTGTGTAGCGCTCCTTGTCCAGGGAGCCAATTTTAAAGTCACGCTCAATCTGATAAAACAGAAAATTAGAAATATAAGAGTCGGCGTTAGCAGAGTTGGAAAACTAACCTCGGAGAGTTTGACGCGCAGTTGTGTGGGCTGCTTTCTAGCAAAGAGGCGAATAATCTCCGGCGTCTGAAATGCATTGCTGATTGCCGCTTGGATTGCCTGGAAATGGGCAAAAGGAAATTAGGCATTCTGATAAAGGAGTTGCAGCACTCAAAGTTGATCTCACCAACTGCATCGAGCCAATCTCATCGACCAGTGTCATATTGCCCGAGGTGAGCCTTGAAAGGTACTTGTTAAAGTCCTCCAGCTGCTCCATCGTCTCCCGCTTGGTCTCCTCGTACTCCTCCGCCTCAAGATCATTTCTGAAAGATGTTTGCGTATGTTTCAATGAGAAACTGTAGCTCTTTTAGTCATATGAAAAACCCACTTGCACTCTTCGAGATCACCGAGTTGAGCCACCAACCGATCGAGCTGCTCCTCCAGATTGGTTCTCAGTTGACTAGTTTCCGATTGCCCACGGGATGCCATTGTGACTTGTTCTCTTCGCCTTTGGGTCTTTAGGTGCAATAGAAGGTGCTAGATTGGAGAATCACAGGTGAAAAAAGCAGGTAGCAACAAAAAATAAAAAAGCAGCCTCAAAATGCAAATGCAGCCAAAAAAAGTGTCAGAGAACATAAACAGAGCCGACAGAAGCAGTCTTCCCGGCAAAAACAGAAAACTGCTGCAGTGCAACTGGAGATCTTTATTTTGACAGTGCGCAGAGCAGAACAGGAGAGAACTTGCCAGAGTCCATTGTATTCTACAGTAAGTTTCGAAACTTCCAAACTTTTCAACTTCGATTGTGCCATGGCCGAACCGCAGCAGGCTCATGTGGAGTTGGTGGTCAAGGATGACGACGACGAGAAGAAGAAGGCGGCTGCTGAGGAAGACAGTGGCAAGCACGTCGACCCGGCCACTTTGATCTGCGATCCCAATCTGACGCTGAACGACGGCAAGGCGTACGTGATCACGAAGAGACCGGAGAGCAGCAGCGGAAAGAGCCACAGCGAGGCGGCCGCAGCCGATCCGACGCCCATCGAGCTGGTGGCCGACGCCGAGGAGGTCGACCTGAACCACTGTCGCGTGGCCACCATGGCCAACTTCACCGTCCTGCAGAAGGCGGAGACGATTGGCCTGCGCAACAACATGATCACCCGCATCGAGGGCATCAGCCAGCTGGTGGGCAGTCTGCGGGAGCTGGAGCTGTACGACAACCAGATTACCCGCATCGAGAATCTGGACGAGCTGGTCAACCTTGAGTGAGTGAATGTCAAGCACTATACTTGATCTGATTCTCATCACTTTTCTCTTTTCTCTCCAAACAGAATTCTTGACATCTCCTTCAACCGCCTGACCAAGATCGAAGGCCTCGAGAAACTGGTCAATCTACGCAAGCTCTTTCTGGTCAACAATAAGATCGAGGTAATTGAAAATCTGGACACGCTGGTCAACCTGGACACGCTGGAGCTGGGCGCCAATCGCATTCGCAAGATTGAAAATCTGGGCCACCTGAGCAAGCTGACGCAGCTGTACCTGGGCAAGAATAAGATCGCCGAGCTGGAAAACCTGGGCCAGCTGAAGGCGTTGACGCTGCTCAGCATTCAAAGCAACCGCATCGTCTCGATGAAGACGGGCCTGGAGGAGCTGACCGAACTGGACCAGCTCTACATCAGCCACAATGGCCTGCAGGAGATTGAGGGTCTGGAGAAGAACGTCAAGCTAACCACTTTGGGTAAGGGGTTTAAGGAGGAATTATGATAAGTCGATGATAATAACTACCTTTGTTTGCAGACGTGGCAGGCAACCGCATCAAGCGCCTCGCCAACATCGAGCACCTGCAGCAGCTGGAGGACTTCTGGGTGAACGACAACCAGGTGGAGGACTGGCGAAACCTGGAGGCGGTCCTCGGCAAGCTGCCCGCCCTGCAGACGCTCTACCTGGAGCGCAACCCGGTGGCCGCCGACCCGATGTACCGCAAGAAGCTGATGCTCATTGCGCCCAAGCTGCGCCAGATTGACGCCACCATGTGTCGAGCTTAGAACGAAGAAAGGCGTCAGAGTATCGATGCGCACAGATGAGAAAAGAGCCTTTTCATCCTTCTCCTCCTTCCTATCTTGTTTTTCTCTTAGACAGTCACACCCCAGCCAAGCCCTTCAAGTGTAAGGTAATAAAAACTTGCTTGTAATATTTACAACATCAACAACAAGAACGTCAACGACAATCACAATCAGTAAACTCTGTGTGGATCATAGGCGTAAGCGTGAGTCTCGGCATCGGAAAGTTCCTTATCATCATGAAAAGAGCGGGTCAAACTGTGACAGCAAATCCTTTGGCTCACCACCACCATCAACAATATCCTTCGAAGCACTACCAGCACCACCTTCTGAAGAAGCTCCACCATTGACTGAAGGGACGGAAGAAGTTGCTGCTGCTGCTGCTGCTGCTGATGCAGCGTGACCATTGCTCACACCTGAAACAGCAGCGGCAGGCACCGCTGAAGAAGGCAGCGTCGAAGAAGTGTTGGTCTTGTTGTTCTCAGCGCCAGCCACCGAAGTGGGCATCATCACCGGCCAACCCTTCTTAGACTCCATCTCAAGTGCCTGCACTACACTGGCAGCCGCCGACTGTGCCGGTGGTGGTAGCTGAGCTTGAGGCTGTGCTTGTGGTGTTATGTATTGCTGCTGCTGTTGTTGTGGTTGTGGCAATTGTGTCTGCTGTTGCATGTACGCCCCCACCGGAGCACCACCGCCGCCGCCTCCATTGACCACCGTAGGCAGACCATTGTAGGTGGTGGAGACGTAGGGAGACGTAGGCGGCTGCATGGAATGGCTGTTCTGACTGCCCAGAGACAACCCGGCCACCTGGGCCGATAGGGAGGATGGTATTGCTGCTACCGATGGCTGTTGCTGCTGTTGATAGACCGAAGTCGGATTGCCTATGCTGGTCATCATTCCTTGTGGTTGCTGTTGTGGCTGACTGGGGTAGGCACTGCTATTGCTGCCGCTGCCGTAGTAGTAAGGCTGCTGTGTTGGCTGCGGCTGAAGTCCGTATTGGGGCTGGGCAAGATGGGGAGGTTGTTGTTGTTGCTGCTGCTGCTGTGGTTGCTGAAGATGATGCACTCCACTTGTGGGCGGCTGTTGCATGTACGGGGATTGTGATTGGGCTGGAGCAGGGGGCAGATGGTGCTGAGGTGAAGGACTCTGCCAGGTCTGCTGAAGAACTCCACAACCACCACCAACGGCAACATTAGCAGCAGGACTGCTAAAATTGTTGTTCATCATTCCATAAGAAGTGGGCACTTGTCCGTACGCAGGTCCTGAGGAAGTAGGCGGCACTTGATGTGGCTGCTGATAGACAGCTGCTGCTGGCGGAATGCTTGAAGGGGTGGCATAGGCGAGACTAGAAGAGACTGCTGCTGCTGCTGGCACTAGATGAGGCGGCTTGGGGGGAGGAATTGAAGAGGAGAATGTTGCAGAATGTCCACTTGAAACAGGCAAGTAAGGAGACTGGGGCACAGGCCCAGCTGGAACATACTGCGCTTGAAGGGAAGCAGAAGGAGGAGTAGGAAAAGATGCACCGCTACTGTTAGCTGATGGCATCGTAGCACCATAATAGGAGGTACTAGGCTGAAAGGATTGAGGAGGAAGGGTAGGAAATGCAGCAGAAGAAGAAGAAGAAGACGGAGGCGTCGGTGTGGCTGGAGGGGGCTGAAAAGCTTGCGCAGGCGGTGTCGGCGCCGGTGGCACACCATAACTGTTGACTGCTGCTGCTGGTTGTGGTGGAATCTGCTGGGAAACTTGTGACACATAGCCTCCGCTGAACTGTTGAGCTCCGGGAGCAATGGGAACAGGAGGAGGAATTTGAGGAGGAGGGGGAGGTGTGGCAGGCATCGAACTNGGAAACTTGTGACACATAGCCTCCGCTGAACTGTTGAGCTCCGGGAGCAATGGGAACAGGAGGAGGAATTTGAGGAGGAGGGGGAGTGGCAGGCATCGCACTACCACCACCACCTCCAATCTTCGACTGTTGATTGGTCATGTAGGGCAGATAGTCCTTCAGCTTCAGTGGCCCAGCACTGGGAAGAGGAGGCATCACCGGGAAAGTGGTCTGCGGTAGTGAGGGAATGTAGGCGGCAGAAGAAGAGGGCACTCCAATTTCTCCTGGTGGAATGGAGTTGGTCATCATCGAAGCAGCAGCAGCCGCAGCAGCACTCTTCTTGGCACTGGCCGCATACTGCGCCCTCTCCTCCTGTTGGACCTTGCTGACGCCGGCAATGCGAGCGCACAGTCTGGTGACCACCCCCTGAAACTTCTCGTAAAACTCCAGCCCCCGCCTCGAGTTGGTCATCAGCTCTTTGAACACCTGAAAGGTGTACATCAGCGAGGCAATGCGCGTCCGCCGACTGCGGCCCACCTCGATGATGGCCTTGCGCGTCTCAGCGTAGCGCGCATTGGCCGCCGTCAGCGCCCGCAGAATGTTCTCCTGCGCGGCCATGTTCGCCCGCAGCAGCTCCACCGTCTGGTCGTACTTGCGCAGCTCCCGCTCAAAAACCGCCTCAATCTCCGATTTGGGCGTGGCCAGCACCAACTTCAGCACCTGCCCATCCGCGGCGTCCATCTCCTTCAGGAGGCGCTCCTCCAGCGACTCCCGCTGCGAGCGCATCTCCTCGACCTTGTCAAAGAGACGCTCCATCTCGGCAATGGTCGCCTCGTCCACTGGCAGCGTCTTCAGCGAGGGGAGAATGGAGGCGATCTTCGCCGCCGAGCTGCTGGTCATCACCGTGATGTCGTCCTTGTGCTGGTCAAAGTTTTCCCACAGCGAGCGGTTCGATTCGACGGCTTTCTGGTGCGTCTCCTCGTGCTTCGCCAGCTCCTTCCGCAGCTCCACCAGAATCAGCGATGGTGGACGGCGGTGGCCAGCCGGCAGGCGACCACCCCCACCGTCCTCCTCCTCCCTGGCCTCCTCCTCGGCCAGCGCCGCCTTCGCCTCCTCAATGGCCCGCTCCGTCTGCTCGGCAATGCTGTCCAGCCGTGTCAGCGTCCGCTCCACCTCGGCCACCGCCCCCGGCGTCAGACTCAGCTCGGCGCAGATGTCAATCAGTTCGTCGGGAATGGCGTCCTCTTTGGGTGCTCGCAGGCGGTCCCGCTCCAGCTGAAGACTGGAGAGGTAGGCGGCCAGATCGGCGTTTCGGTTTTCAATCTCCACGCGAATCGACCGCAGAATCTCGTCCTTGCGGGCGCTGTACAGCGAGGCCGTCTCGTGCGCCTCAATCGGCACCAGACGGGCAAAGATGTCCACGCCGGCAATCTCCGGGTCGGTGATGCTGAAGGGAATGCCCTTGACCAGTGGGGCGCCGGTGATCTCCGTAAGCGATTCCACCGGCGGGACCTTCTCGTGGTAAATAAAGTCGTTCTCCTTCTTTGCATTGCCCAGCTTGGCGGCTATGACGTCGCCCACAAAGGTGGTCGCTTCGGTGACCTCGACGGGGTGGGCATTGTCGAGCTGTTTCGCCAGCTTGGCGGCCTCTTTCAGTCGAGCATCCGCCGACTCGTACCAGGCCACTCGTTCGCCCATCTTCTGCCCCTCCTCCGCCAGGTTGCCCATGTAGAGGTGAGCCAGTGAGCCGTAGTAGGCGAGCTTAAAGTCGACAAACTTCTTCCACTCCTTGAAGAGCTTCGAGCCGACCACCTCGACGAGGCTGCTCCGCTCGCCGGCGCCGGTGTTCATTGCGCCTTGCGTCAGCAGCGACAGCGCCGAGCGGTAGAAGGCGACCACCTGGGCGGCGACCTTTGCGACGATGGACGCCTTGCGACTGTCCAGCATCGACTTCTCGAGGATGCACTCCTGCGCCTGGGCGAGGGTGACCTGGACGAAAAAGGAGAGCAGGTCGGCGGACATGTCGCCGCTGCGGTGGAGGCGGCCGTCCTCGAGCAGCTCCTGGAAGGCCCAGGCGGCGCACTGGAAGTGCGTGCAGCTGACCTTCATCTCCTCCGCCGTCTGCCGCTGGTCGGTGGCGCCCAGCTCGGCGTGCAGGGCGCCGATGTTGTAGAGGATGCAGGCTAGCTCAAAGTCGAGGTCGCCGATGTTCGTCTGGCCGGTGTAGATGTCCGCCCAGATGCACTGCACGCCGACGGCGCCCTCGAAGACCACCAGGCGATTGTAGAGGCTGTAGATCTGGGCGTAGTACCGCTTCAGCAGCGAGCAGCCGGTGAAGTCGCGCGGCGCCCGACAGGCGTTCTGTTTGGGTGGGGAGGGGGTTCGATTTAGTTTGTTTGATGATGATGATGAAATGATGGAATCTCTCAGCAGAGCCTACCGTACGACACGTCTCCAGTTGCATGATCTCCCGATCGTACATGTCACCATCTTCGCCGTAGTATTTGGTGATGAGCTACCGAGAATGGTAAAAAGGGCTATTGTTGTTGTTGTACAAAGTACGACGTAGGCGACGACTTCACTTACCCTCTTGAAAGGCTGCGCAAAGTCAGGACAGACCGGGCTGATCTTAAGCTCGAAGGAAAGCATAGGCAATTTGGGGACCGCTTCCATGGCGTCCTAGGCGTTCTCCTTCTCTTCAGGTGGTGTGATGACCAGAGAGGGTGAGGAGGTAAAACGGAGATAAAAAGGAAAATAAAAGGAAGGAAAAGAAAGAAGGCTGATGGCGATTGCGGCGACTGTCAGAAAGATAGTGAGAGACAGAGAGAAATAGAAGGAGCGAGAGTTCTGGTGAGGTGAGTCAGTCAAAACTGTTTTGTTGTCGTCTTTNACAGGTGGTGTGATGACCAGAGAGGGTGAGGAGGTAAAACGGAGATAAAAGAGGAAAATAAAAGGAAGGAAAAGAAAGAAGGCTGATGGCGATTGCGGCGACTGTCAGAAAGATAGTGAGAGACAGAGAGAGAGAGAGAAATAGAAGGAGCGAGAGTTCTGGTGAGGTGAGTCAGTCAAAACTGTTTTGTTGTCGTCTTTTGCGCTAGGCTATTTGTACACACCAGTGCACACGGCGCAAACTCCGCGTTTTCGAGAAAGAAAAAATGCAGGCAGCCGCAAAAATGCGCCTCAAGATTTTGATTTGATTTGATTGTTTACCTTAAATCAAACTCTGCTTGGAAATATTTTTTGAAAAATGGATGACATACAAAAGATGACCGTTCGTCCGCTTTACTCTGGTGATAACGTGTGTGTGTGTGTTATGTACAATTTGGATCGCTCGTATATTAGGAATATAGTGTGTTGAGACAAGTGTTGCTGTTTGGCGTTCCAAGAAGAAGAAGAATAGGAAGTAGGAATCACATCTAGAAAGAGAATCACAATAAATTCTTCAACATAGTAAAGACTGCAGAGAGTAACTGCGAGTGAGGAGAGGGGCGGTAGTGAAATCCGTGCAAAAGGGGAAATTCATGGAGAACTACTGTTGATGCTGTTCAACTTTCCGAGAAGCTGACCACAAACGGCTCGGCATTGTGAATTCGAAAACCGTGCTCCACGGCGGCCGCCGTCTTTAGGGCAAGGCTGGTGATCAATCGGTAGTCTTCCATGGGAACTGGATCTCGTGATCGGGTGGAGTGGTCGATCTCTGGTTGGAAAGGAAGGAAGTTTAAAGGGTTAATGTCACATTTAAAGAAGTAAAAGTCATCATGACTTACTGGGCCCCGGTACTGGCGTTGGCGGCTTGTTCGTCTCCAGCACGACCGTCTTTCTCACCGTGGAGAGCTTCTTGTGGATGGCCNGACTGGTGATCAATCGGTAGTCCTCCATGGGAACTGGATCTCGCGATCGGGTGGAGTGGTCGATCTCTGGTTGGGAAGGAAGGAAGTTTAAAGGGTTAGTGTTACATTTAACGAAGCAAAAGTTGGTCACATACTGGGCCCCGGCACTGGCGTTGGCGGCTTGTTCGTCTCCAGCACGACCGTCTTTCTCACCGTGGAGAGCTTCTTGTGAATGGCTTGCTCGCGGTCAGTTAGATCCGCCTGTTCGCCCGACTTCTCCAGCGAGGAAATGTCGATCACACGGGCGCTCAGCTGGTCGAGCACTCGGTTGTACAGACGGCTTTGGCTGTTCTCGTCGTTTCCCGGGCCACCACTGGCCGCCCCGGCGGCGCCGTAGCCACCTGGTCCGCCGCGGTAGCCACCGGCGTTGCCGCCAGCGTAACCTTGAAGGCGGTCGCCTGCAGAGAGAAAATGGTTTAGAAGATGGTTTTAAGCGATCTTAAAACAACCACAAAATGACTTACCATCATTGATGCCCACCGGGTCTAGTATCCGCCTCGTCTCACTGTACTCGTCTTCGTAGTAGTCGCGCTTCTTCCAGCAGCAGCACACATTGCCCATTTGGCCAGCTTTGTTCTACTTCTTCCTCTGGAGATGTTTAAAGGTGACCGTCCAG